ATAAAAGTTATATATATATATATATATATATATATATAAACAATAATTATTAATTAATTAAATAATTTAAAATTGTTCCACTGAAATCTCGGTGTTTAACCCGGTCAAGTACGTACCGATATTAATTAACTTTACCAGGTCAAATAAAGAGTTGCACATTGTAATAATTATTGTGTGTAGAATTTTCCTATTTTTGAATGAATAATTGCTTCACGTCTGATGGTTCTAAATGAAGTTTGAAAAATGAAGAGTCAGAGTCAGGTCAATTGGATCATCTTCCTCCATATACCTTTGCAACTTGCAAGGTAGGCCATGCCAACTAATTGGACACATTTATGTGTAACCTAATTTTTCAATTAATGTTTATTCAAGTGTACAAACAAGTATATATATGGAATATGGTGAAATACATAAAACAATATCATATTCTTTGTGTTATTTATTTATTTATTTATTTATTTTTGGAGAGAAAGAATGTCAGGTACGATCTCAACAGAATAAAAAGTCTGTTTTTTTCTAAACTCAGAAAAATTGAGACAAGTCACACTTTGAGTTTGAGGAATCTACCTATATGTCTTTTGAATTTCCATATAATTTTGACTTTATATAAATTTTTGCCAATTTAATAATTACGGAAAATCATATTGAAAATTCAACGGCTAACACTTCATTTCCATTCCGAACTTTAATTTGATTTTTTTTAGACAATTGTGATTTAAGCTTATGATAATTTTCAGAGAAGAAAAATAAGTAAAATAAAAAAAAATCAATACCATAAAATAAAAAGAAAAGGAGTTAAAATTAGGTGTTCACATTTACTATTTAAAGATGGAAATTGAGGCTAAATTCACAATTTTTTTTATCTCTGAAATTTTGTTACTAATTCATTATTTATTTTAGTAGTGGTCAGTTGAATATTGATAATCAAGAAAGGGACATATAATTATTTTTCACAATATATATTAACATTAGCTTATAGAAAATGGTCACTACAATGATACCTTGATAATACAATTTGCATCCCATGAAGTGAGTGTCACACACCCCTACTCTACTATTAGGGATTGACATGTTCGTATTACGCATGTGTTCAAGTTTGGATACAACTATCTAAAGAGTAACTTCATAAAAAACAAGTCACAATTTTTATTTAAATATATCTTTAATAACAGACGAATCCTGTGACCTCTTGCAAAATCTTCTGTATGAAATAACTTGTCAAATCATGCGCATCAAGAACCTGTAGTGTACACATAAAAGTCTTTAGGCAAGCAAAATATTTAACAAATTATTTTGTTTTCAAGTTTGTTTGGATACAACCATCTAAAGAGTAATTTCTTATGTTGAAATCTGATTCAATTTAAATCTCTAAAAAAGAAAAATTGATCTATACGTACCACAGTTGCGATTCCTCATGTTTCAGTGGATTGAGTGCATCTTTCGGATCACAAAGTCATACGTTAGGTGCAGAAATCTAAAATAAGCATGCCTGCATCTCCTGTTGAACAAAATGGTGCCAAAAACTCCCCAAAATCCCGCGGCAAATCCAATTCCCAGGCCAGTGAAGAACCATAAATGTACTTGATCATCTTCTTCTTCTCCCATGGGTTTTGGTTTTGTATTGTGGGATTTTCCATCAGGTGGGCATATCTTTGTAAGTGGAGCTCCACAGAGTGCAGGATTTCCGATATAGCTAAGGTTTGTAGAACCAAGTTGGGTCCCTGATGGGATTTTCCCCACAAAATTGTTGAATGACAGATTCAATACCTCTAGATAATGCAAGGCTGACATGGACGCAGGAATTTCTCCTGAGAAATGATTTCTGGAGAGATCGATAGACTCCAATTGTAGCAATTTGCCAATCTCTTGTGGTATGGTTCCCATTAATTGATTATGGGATAAATTCAAGGACTGTAATCCAGACAACATATACATCTCTAAAGACACTCTTCCAGACAAGTTGTTGCTTGAGAGATCAATCGTCCTCATTACAGTAAGATATTGTAACTCATTTCCTTTAACAACCATCAAAATACCACCCCCCAAAAGTACTGGCGAACCTCGAAAGTATGAGATTAAGCCGAGTGTTGAAGAATTACCAGAAAGCATAGCTGTGATGTTATGTAAGCAATTGGGTATCGATCCTGATAATTTATTACTTGCAAAATCCATCACTATCAGAGAGTGAAGTTGGCATATCTGTAAGGGAATGCTGCCACTGAATTGATTGGATCTCAGTTGAAGACCTTTAACACCTTGTCCCAACCAGCTTGGTATTACTCCAGAAAGATTATTGTGACTTAGATCAAGTACCTCAAGATTCTTGCAATTTTTTAGTGAAAAAGGTACCTCTCCAAACAACTTATTGCTTTCTAGATACAGAAAACGAAGGTCAGACAAAGAGCCCATTGAATGAGGAATCTTTCCTGTTATGTTGTTGTGTCTTAAGCTTATATAAATCAACGATTTCCAATTATTCCAACAATTTGTGAGTTCTCCAGATAAATGATTATAACTCAAGGCCAAGAACACTAAATTGCTTTTATATGTCATTCTATCACACAAGAGAGGAGAAATAGATCCAGACAAAGAGTTGTTATATAAAATTAAAACAACCACTTCTGGTGATATACGAGGCACGCCACCTCTTAAATTGTTGGAAACTAACCAAACAAATTTTGAGCTTAACAACACATTTGATATGTCCCCATTGATTGTATTGTTCTCCAAATCAATGAATTCAAGTTGAGTTGCAAAGTTCCAAAACTTGTCAAGAGGTTCAAATGAAGCTGTTGAATGTACAATCTTTACATCTTTTAAAGAACTCTGTGTAAATAGCCATGCAGGAAGTTTGTCTCTCACGTAACCCAATTCAATTTCTAGAAGTTGAAAAGGAGGGACCCATTTAGGATCAAAATCAAGGTTTAGGGCTGGCGAACTCATGGAAAAGTACTTTAAATTTGTTAAAGAAAGTAAATTCCTTTCTGATACAATTCCATTTAAGTGATTTTCTGAAACTTCAAAGGTCTCCAAGTTGAAGAGTTGTCCGAGATTGTTTGGAAGAGTCTCATTCAACTCATTAAACTTAAGTATCAATGTAATCAAGGATGATAGATTTCCCAAACTTGTGGGGATTGGGCCAGAAAAGAAATTATGAGAAAGATCAAGTTCTTGTAGTTGTTCAAGTTCTCCTAACCAACTTGGAATGGGTCCTTTGAGAGAATTATCAGATAAAACCAAGGATTTAAGGCTTCTAAGATTTGGCAATGCTTTAGGTAATTGGCTATGTATCTGATTTCGACTAAGGTCAATATGAGAGATTTGACAACTAAGATTGAATAACCAACCAGGCAACTCAGACAAAAATTGATTGTCAGCAAGATTTAAAACTTGGAGTGAAGTAAAATTAGCACCTTGAAAAAGTGGATATAAATTTTCAAGTTGACAACTCTTCAAATGCAACTCTAAAAGTGAAGGGAGCATGGTGACAGATTGAAGCCAATCAATATCGTTTTGAAGATAAACACCACCAAGGTTGAGATATTCCAATGAGGAAAGACGGGAAATCCAATGGAGATTATGGACAAAAAGATCATGATTGTATGACAAATCAAGATAAAGGAGGTTGGTGTAGTTTCCACACTGATAAGGAAAATTACCTCTTGACAAGTCATCGCACTTGTGACTACTCATTGAATTATATTGCATAGACTTGAAGTCATTGTTGCTTAAATTCAAGTAGTTCAAAAATTCAAGTTCTAGCAAAGTGAGGCTAAGTTCACCTGTTAGACAGTGTGATTTGTCGTCTCTCGCTTCAATATCAACAAATTTAGGTTGATTTGTATGACAAGGAAGATGAAGTTGTGTAACTCTACCTGTGATATTATCACACTTGACCCCTGTCCATTGACAACAATCTAAATTTGGAAACCATAAAGAGAGCAAGCCTGAAGGATCTTTGACTCCTCGTTTGAAGCGTAAGAGTGTGTTCATGTCCTTCTTGTTGCAATCAATCTTAAAACTGCACATGACGGAATTAAACATAATTGTAGAAAGAAAGCAAAGTAAAAATAACTTAATACTCGAGGGAGAGGCATCCATGATCACGCAAGAAGACGCTTTGATGATGATACTGAAGGCATACAAATACAATGCACTACAAGTGTTTATATGGAGGAAATAAGTCTTCCACAATGAGGGTGGACATTGTGATAAATCCAATTGTCTTTGTGGTGTGACTGTGTAAGGTCTTCGATCGTGACGTTTCCACTAATTTGCATAAGGTTATTTACCAACACATATATGCTCTTTCTTGCATTTCATTTTCATCTCCATTTTTTTTTCCTACAATCCAATCCATCTGAATTTTGGATGGAATGTTAGTGATCATCTTAATTATGTTTTCCACACTGTATTGCAGCATTAATTTCCACGTTGATGCTTTTGCGGGATGTATATTGATTCACATTTTAGCTTATTGAGACATATAAACATGTTATGTATGATATATATATTGCGAAGAATTAAAACTTTTGTTTCTTTTTTCAACAATACATGAAACGCAACCTAACTCAAGTTTTAAAGGATTTTATTTCTACAAATTAACTCAAAATCGCTAACTTTGATAGTAAAGCTTTTACTCTTTTAATCACTGCATCGGCCTATTGATGGATTAGAGTAGTAAGGAAATAATAATGGCATTTGTCCCTTTGCATATATTTTTTTTAAAAAAGTTTCGGGAGAAGATGACTGTAAGAAAAAAAATTAAGATTTTTTTATACAACAGAAAAAGAGAAATAGAAAATGAGTAAAGAGAAATAGAAAAGAAAAAGTAAAAAATAAAATAAAATAAAAAGTAATTGAAATTTGAGAGATATAAAAAAAATTAGGAAAGAGATAATTAAATAAAAATTTAAAATTAATTTTTAATAAATAATTGACCAAACATTCAGTGGAATCAATTGAAATATTTTTTTCTAATCAATTAAATAAAAAAAATAATGATATCATTTCTAAAACAAAATTAATTGATTTTTAATAGATTATTATGAGCCTTATTTTAAGTGTGTGCTATTCATTTTTCTCATTTATTTGTGAAGAAATAAAAATATGCGAATAAAAAAAAAGATTTCTTCTCTCACAATTTTACTTCATTTTTTTATTTCTTATATGTTGGAGATCTTAAATTGATCAATGTTGAAAAATTTTATTGATAAATTAAAATTTAAATTAAATATTTTTGTAATTGATTAATTTTATGTTTTAATATTAGTTAATATTTTAAAATTAAACGTTTTAGTGTCTGAATATAGTTACATTTGTTGACTAGTTCCTCATTTTATCTACACGGAAAAAGATCTTTCAAGATATGTCAATGTCACTTGTTGGCTTCTTGCACGTTTAGGAAAACTGTGTATAATGGATTTCATAGTTAGTTAATTTCTAATATTTTGACTAGGTTTTTCTTTATGAGCTCGTTCAACTGTTGATAAATATAAGTGTGAAATTTCAATTTTTAATTAAGAAATACTTCGACTAACAACTTTTAGTTTTATTTTATCTTTTGCACCAAATCTTGTAGCAGAAATTGCTGCAAATAACAGCCATCTCTTTCTTTATATATCGGTGCTACTTCAGAAGGCATAAATTATAATACGCTGAAAATTCATCTCCCCGTATTTGATACTGTGATATTCTTGTGTTACGTACTCTTGCTTCATGAAGAAGATATATATTGAGCATGCCGTGTATAGAAGATTTGAAGCAAAAGTTAATTTATTTTAAACAAACTTATAAGTTATTAACTCTACTTTAATTTTTTTTAGTTGTTAAATTATTAATTAGCAATGTTTTATATAATCAAGAAAAAATATAATATTCTACTCTTATCGATGACTAATATATTCAATCTATCTTATTATAAAATTATTGATTATCTTATTATAAAATTATTGATTTTAGATAACTAGATTTAAATAATTTTAATTTTGAAAAACTTCTCTCGATAACAATTTTTAAATAATATTTTATATTTTATAAGAAACATACATATATATATATATTGAAAGAATATATTTTTATATTTTTTAATGCATAAATCAAATATATAAATTTTTAACATATTTAAAAATTATTTATTTCATTAATTTAAATTGATGAATAATTATAAAAATAATTTTATGCATTAATTTGAGTTTATATAATAAAGTATCAAATAATTTTTAATTTTTTTTTTAAATTTTGTAAACTTAATCAATGCATTCATAGAGAGAAAGAGAGATTGAGAGAGAAAATAAATTTATACTCATTATTTTTTCCTCTCAATATTTGATAAGTGGTTTAGTGCTTTAAAATTTAATCTTACAAATTCAAATACCACGTACTAACACTTTAAATAATTCAATGGAAGAGAAAGAAAAAAAAATCAATAGAATGATCATATACACAAAATTAATGAATGGTTAAGGGTGTCGAGACTTTTAACTCTTTTAGTTAATTTGAATTAATGGATGATTGAGAACTTTGAAGCTTTTAATTATTGTGGTTGAGGTCTCTTGATTTTGATTAAAGGTAGATGGTTTTGATTTTCTATATCATTAATTAGATAATACATTTGTTGAGAGAATGCCATGTGTTTTGAGGCATGTCTTTGTTTAAGTGTGTTTTAAAACGTATGATTTGTATTACTACACAAATTTTGTATTTTTTATACTTTATGTGAGTAGATCTTATACTCTACTCAGTATGGTTTAATAAAATAAAAATAAAAAAATTGTTTTGCTCTTAAGAAAAAGCTTCAACCAAAGTTTGGCATTTATAGTTATATTTATGCCAGTTATAGCACTGCATTTAAGTTAAGAACAATAATATCAAACTGAGACGTTAACATATGTTCAATGCAAAATTTGTTTGCAGGCTAAACCTTTTCTACATAAAGGGAAATAAGCAATTGAAAAGTTGTTTGATCCTCAACTCAAGTGCAGTATGAGATTCTCAAATCAAATGGGTAGAATGATTGAAGCAGTAGTTGCCTGTGTCACAATGAATCTCGAAGACCCAACATCCATGTGATTATTGCAATACTAAAAGAAGAAAAAGAATTTCTCTTTTTAGAACTTTACGCCTTCCCTGTCAAGATTTACTCGCTAAAGAAAGCAAGATAACTCACTAAATCAAGCCTTTAAAGTTTTCCATTAATGCTCTATGTTGCCACTTTCTTAAGTGTGAGAGTGGCTCACTTCAAGCAAGCTTTCATGGTTAACCTTAGAGCTTATGATGTTGCTCACTTAAATTGAACAAATAGTTCGCTTGAGCGAGCCTTGGACATGGAGTTTTTGAACTCTCTTTTAAGCCCACTTAAGCAAACAAAATCAATTATCATTATCTTAAATTTCTTGGTTCTTTATATTTGGTTTTTCTTTCTCATGTTCTTCTTGTATCTAAAACACTATAAACATTAAAAAAAATTAATAAGTAAACTAATGTGTTGAAAATTACTTATTCTAATTTTTATTGATTATTCTTTTGTAAAACATGATTTAAAAGCATTATACATGCTCTATAATTGGTTATTATACCTCATAAATATATACTTATTTGGCAATTATGAGTTCTCATTGAACTCAAAGAAGCAATAAATCATTGCTCAATCTATTGTAGAATTGAAATCTACTTCCTTTATTCTTTATTATAAGAAAAAAATGCATTTTTTTTATTCTTAAGTATAAGTAAATTTTAACTTATTATGTTTTATTTAATGATACTCTCTATGAAATATTCTCTTTTAACACATAACTTTTCAGTCACCTTATCTTTTTTGAGCATTTATAACAAAGTCAATTTAAGAAGAATATTATAAAATTAGTAAAATTTAATGTAGATAACCAATTTTTTTAAAATGTGTAAAATTAATTTTTTTTCTTATAAAATAGAATAGATGGAGTATATATGTTGTAATTACAAAAACAAACCAATCTATTTGGTTCAGGAAAGTTCTACTTGATTTCAGAGTATAGCAATTGGAGAATTCAATTCATCGTGGAAAGGCTAAACATACTCAACTAAATTTTCATGTCTTTCACGAGGCTGTCAAAAATCATAAGATCAAGTTGGTTCGTTATTGTTCTGACGATATATTAACTAAAGTTCTGAGAGCAAGATTTGAAAGACTTAGATAATTGTTTGGAGTGTTCATCAAAAAATTGAAGGGAGAATGTTGACGCTTTCAAAAAATTTTATGCACACCACTATTTTGTGATGTGTAATTTTATTTTATGTTTATGTTGTAGTCAGTGTGTTTGTCAATCTAAAATACAATGATCGGTATCTTTTGGAGAGTGCTTAACTTTGTAACTATGTTAGATGAGTTACCCATACTTGTGTAGCAAAAATGATGTTTTAATTTATGTTAGTACTTATATCAATAACAATATTCAAAAGTTGTGAATGTAAAACATTTCTACATCTATGATACACCTTGTGTTAAAATACCCTTATTTATTAAAATTAGACTGAAAATGAGTTGCGTTGAGACAAATCAGGTTAATTTAGTTTGACTTAATAATATTTGACACAATTTACAATTTGACTCAAGTTTAAAATAAACATTTTTTTCTAACTTGAACTGAACTTGATTCAAGCTTACTAACATGTTTGTTTAGCTAGTTAGCTTGAATTATATGAACTAAGAATCAATTTTTTTTTAATCTTATACGTTTTAAGATTTCAATTTCATAATTGATATGAGATAAAATGATTATTTAAATTTTTTTAAAAGACAAAACATAATTTATTCTAGTGACTTGTAAGATTACGATGCATGACTCCAAAGAAACATTACAAGTATAGTCTATACAAATAAAAACTATTCCACTTTATATAAAAAAAAAATTCAATTCATAATTATGACATTCTAAAATATTTACTTTTCTTTATTATTATTAACTAACTAAGTTCTGAAAATTATTTCAAATTTAAATGACCTAAAATTAAATAGAAAGTTAATTAAATAAATTATATATTTATAAATTAAGTCCATTCATGCATTAAACAAGTTAAATTATATATAACTCAATTCAATTCATTCTTACCCCTACTTAAAACCAACTTCCAATATATTTTATATATTATTATAAAGAAATATTGTGAACCATTTATTAAAAAATAAAAATAAAAATAAAGATATATTATTCATGGTATAGTGTATTGTATCTATTTTTCTCAATCACCATAAGATATACATTGAGATATTTGATACAACATGTGTGGCCCATAGAACTGTAGCCGACCTTAAACAACAATGCGATGGCAAAATGAAAGAGCAAAAACTACTCTAAACGTTTAAATATTAAAAAATGTCACACAAATATAAAATTAATTCCACATTTATTTTAAATTTTAAATTATAAATTAATTTTCCAAAGCTAATCAACAAATCACACAAGCATAAGTATTTATAATTTTTTAAAATTTATAATTTAAAAGTCATCTTTTTATTCTTAAAATTTTATTTTAGAAGGTTCATGTCTAAAACATATATAATTATAATTATTTTTTAAAGTATATTTCTAAAACATTTTTCTTTTTTAATAAAAAAATATTATTATTTGTTTTAAAAAGTCTCATTTAAGATTTGTTTTAGTTTTAACAATGAATTAAATTGGTGCTGACAAAACATAAACCCATTGAGTAAATAGAAGCGTTTACAATAGATTAAATAACTTCATAAAAACATGAACGTAATACTAGTTAAAAATTTTATTTATATATCCTGAAAAACATAACATATGAACCTTGTGGATTCCTGCAAAAACCTCAGCAGGAGATAACTTGTAGAAGCATGGAAATTAAGAACCTGCGTGTAAATATGTAAATATAATGTATCAGAGTTATTATGTATCTACATGTATGTGCAAACACAAGTATGTGTGTATTTATAAAATGTGTAATGCATATATATATATATATATATATATAAATGAATGAGATTGTTAATATATTTTTACCTATTTTTTAGTTAGAATATGTTAACAACTTACATTAAAATTTTAAAACAAGAAAATTATTCATATTTTTTTAATTTGGTTAATTTGTATAAATGATATTATAGTAATTTAATTTAATTTTAAAAGAGAATAAAAATATTTTCTCTCTCTTATTAACTTCATTTTTCAACTCATTTCTCTTTTAAAATTAAATTAAATTATTGTAATATCCTTTATATAAAATAATCAAATCAAAATAAATAAGTAATTTTCTTGTCCTAAAATTTTTGTATAAGTTGCTAACATATTCCAACTAAGAAATATTTGAGAGTATATTAGCAATATATATATATATATATATATATATAAGAAGATATTCGTTTATTTTAAGAGTAAGTTTATCTATATTTATTTCATTCAAATCTACATCAAATTTAAACGATTCAGCCATTGAATTTAAAGTTTTTGATGTATAGATCAAGTCTGCAATTTTTTTATAAAAAAATTAAAAACTATTTGATATTGTGTTTCATTAATTCAAATCATTATATAAAAATTTTATGATTATCTATTCATTTTAATGAAATAAAGTATAAATGATTTGTAAATTTTTTGAAAAATTGCATATTTGATTTGTTTCTTAATGTATAGATTAAGTTTGCAAATTTTAAAAAATTTAAAAATTATTTAATATTTTATTTTATTAATTCAAATGAACAGATAATCATAAAATTTTTATACATTAATTTGAATTAATAAAATAAAGTATCAAATAATTTTTAAATTTTTTTAAACTTTGTAGATTTAATTCATACATTAAAAACCTTAAATTCAACTGTTAAACCGAAATTTGATATAAAACATGAGTAAATAATCTCTATATATATATATATATAATTCAATTTAAATCTCTAAAATTGTATACATACCATGGTTGCTATTTCTTAGATTTCAATAGATGAAGTTGATCTTTTGGATCACAAAGTCATGCACTCGGTGCAGAAATCTAAAATAAGCATGCCTGCATGTCCTGTTGAACAAAATGGTGCCAAAAACTCCCCAAAATCCCATTGCAAATCCAATTCCCATTCCCGTGTAGAACCAAGAATATACTTCAGATTTATCATCGTTGTCATCTTTTTCCACTGTTTTTGTATTGTTGGATTTTTCATCTTGTAAGCATATCTTTGTGAGTGGAGCTCCACAGAGACCAGGATTGCCCATATAGCTAAGATTCGTAAAACCTTGAAGTTGGGTACCTGATGATGGGATTTTCCCCACAAAATTGTTGAATGACAGATTCAAGCCCCCAAGAAAATGCAAGGCTGACATGGACTCGGGAATTTCTCCCGAGAAATGATTTCTTGAAAGATCAAAGGACTCCAATTGAAGCATGTTGCCAATCTCTTGTGGTATTGTTCCCATTAATTGATTATTTGACAAATTCAAGGACTGTAATCCAATCAGCATATACATCTCTAAAGGCACACTTCCAGACAAGTTGTTGTTTGAGAGATCAATCACATTCATCATAGTAAAATATGATAACTCATTTCCTTTTATAAGCATTGGAATGCTGCAAGCAATGTTTATTGACAAACCTGGAAAATTAAAGGTAAAGCTGGCTTTACGAGTCAAAGAATAAATAGAAAGCATGGTTGTGATGTTATGTAAGCAATTGGGTATGGGTCCTGATAATCTATTACTTGCAAAAACCATCACCATTAAAGACTGTAGTTGACATAGCTGTGTCGGAATATTGCCACTGAATTGATTAGATCTCAATTCAAGACCTTCAACATTTTGCCCTAACCAGCTTGGTATTGCCCCAGAAAGATTATTGCGACATAGATCAAGTATCCGAAGATTCTTACAATTTTTTAGTGAAAAGGGTACCTCTCCAAACAACTTATTACTTTTCAGATACAAAAAACGAAGGTTAATCAAGGAGCCCATTGAGTGAGGAATCTTGCCCGTTAGGTTGTTGAATCTTAAATTAATAAGAACCAATGATTTCCAATTATTCCAACAATCTGTGAGTTCTCCAGATAAATGGTTATAACTCAGGTCTAGGTACACTAAGTTGCTTTTATGTCTTATATTGCGACACAAGAGAGTAGAAATGGATCCTGACAATGAGTTATCATGTAAACGTAAAACATGCACTTCTGGTGATAAACGGGGCATGCCTCCTCTTAAATTATTGGACTCTAGCCAAACAAATTTGGAGCTTAGCAACACATTTGATAAGTCCCCATTGATTGTGTTGTTTGCCACTTTGATAAATTCAAGTTTAGTAGCAAAGTTCCAAAACTTGTCAAGAGGTTCAAATGAAGCAGTTGAGTCTACAATGGTTAGATACTTTAGAGAACTTTGGGTGAACAACCATGTTGGAAGTTTGAATTTCAAATTGCCCAATTCAATATTTAGAAGTTGAAAAGGAGGGATCCATTTAGGATCAAAGTCAAAGATCAGGGTAGGTGAACTGATGGAAAAGTGCTTTAAATTTGTTAAAGAAAGTAAATTTCTTTCAGAGACAATTCCAGTAAAGGAGTTTTTTGAAACTCGAAGGCTCTCCAAGTTGAAGAGTTGTCCAAGATCCTCTGGAAGTTTTCCATTCAACTCATTTGACTCGAGTATCAATTTAATCAAGGATGACATGTTTCCCAAACTTGTGGGGATTTGGCCAAAAAAGAAGTTATGAGACAGGTCAAGTTCTTGTAGTTGTTCAAGTTGTCCCAACCAACTTGGAATGGGTCCTTTGAGAGAATTATCACGTAAAACCAAGGATTTAACACTTCTAAGATTTGGCAATGTTTTTGGTAGCTGGTTGTGTATCTGATTTTGACTGAGGTCAATATGAGAGATGTGACAACTAAGATTAAATGACCATCTAGGCAACTCAGATAGAAATTGATTGTCTGCAAGATTTAAAACTTGAAGTGAAGTAAAATTAGCATACCAAAGAAGTGGATACATGTTTTCAAGTTGACAACCTTGCAAGTGCAACTCTAAAAGTGAAGGGAGCATAATGACTGTTTGAAGCCAATCAATTTCCTTGTGAAGAAGAACACCACCAAGGTTAAGATATTGTAATGAGGAAAGACAGGAAATCCAATGGAGACTATGGACAAAAAGTTCATAATTATATGACAAATCAAGATAATGGAGGTTGGTGAAGTTTCCACACTGATAAGGAAAATTACCTCTTGACAAGTCATTGCACTTGTGACTACTCATTGAATTATATTGCATAGACTTGAAGTCATTGTTGCTCAAATTCAAGTAGCTTAAAAATTCAAGGTCCAACAAAGTAATACTGAATTCACCTGTTAGACAGTGTGATTTGTCGTCCTTGTCTCCAAAATCAAGAAATTTAGGTTGATTTGTATGACAAGGGAGATTAAGTTGTGTAACTCTACCTGTGATATTATCACACTTGACACCTTTCCATTGACAACAGTCTAATTTTGGAAACCATGAGGAGAGTACACCTAAAGGATCTGTGACTCCTGTTTTGAAGTGTAGGAGTGTTTTCATGTCTTTCTCGTTGCAGTGAATCTTGGAACTGCACTTGATAGAGTTGAACATGATTGTAGCTAGTAAGCAAAGTAAAAGGGATTTAAATTTTATACCTGAGAGAGTGGCATCCATGATGTTCCACAAGAAGGTTCGGTGTGTTGATCAAGGAACACAATCCACTACAACTATTTATAAGGTTGTCTCCGTGATGTGTAAGGCGCAAGCAGGGGAGTTTAAAGACTCGGATATTTTAGTTAAAATTTAAAAAACACTGTTAGTCCCTAGTTTTATAAAATGCTCATCATTTTAATTCTTTTTGTTTTATTTCTTTTTCACTATCATTTTATACCAAAAAAAAAACTGATATAAATGTCAATATGCAGAGTCATCAGACCGTATAAGTTTAGGATTATATATATTTTGATGTGTTGGATCGGTTCTGAAAAATAACTAAAATGGAAATGAAATAGAAACAGCAACCGGTTTTAGATGTGTAAAAAATTGGGGAAGAAATAGCACCTTCCGTCCAACTTCAATTCGAAGGAATAGTTGTTGTTTTGATAAGTGATTATTTCTCTCTGAAAATTTATCCTAACACGCAACAAGCATTAATTGGAGAGGAATACTCGTTCCACTCTTTTTAATATTTATTTTATTGATCAAAATTTATTAAAATTTACAAATTTCCTAAATTTTATATCTCATTTAATTAGTTTTTCTCTTAATTTAGTGGTAGGACTCATAAAAAGTTTTGTAATTTTTAGCTAATAATAAAAACATTATTAGTAAGAGAGTGTTGAAAATATTGTTGCTACCATTTCTCTATAATAGAATTAGGGGCAAACCACTATTATTATTTTTTTCCTTTGCTATATTTTCATTTAAATTTCATTACACATACATTCATCTAGAGTTTGTTTGATTTATTAAAAATCATGCTACTGGTCAAGATAAATATAATTGTTTGATATTTGATTTAAAAAAAATTAAGACAAGATAAATCAGATAAAGAAAAATAAAACAAAATCTTTATTTTTTTTGTTACTAAATAAATTATAAGACATTTTTTTGTCTCAAATACAAAATACATGAGATAAAAACATTATACTATCGTCATTGTTGTTGTATCACCATTCACCCCTTATTTTTACTATTATTGTCATTCATCATCACTCTACTCCCAATTATCATTGTTGTAATCATTATTATTATTGTTGCTTCTACTACTGTCACAATTAATCATTATCATCAATACTTACATAACATGATCCTATCTCATATATCAATATCATTATTATTGTTATTGGTACCACCATTAATAATACTATTATTATTCTTATTAAAATAAAAAAATGAAAATAGTATTAAAAAAGCATCATAATAAATTTAACATTATTTTATCTATATATTATTGATGATCTATATATTCATTGTTCATCAATAATATATAAAGTAAAAAGTTGTTCAATTATTTAAACATGTATCCGACTTGTTTTTATTAATTTATTTGTATTTTACTTGTATCAAACACATCCTTACTATGTTATTGTTTATTTTATTTTATATTTAAAATAGAAAAGGCACAAATTACTTCTTCTCCTCCTAGTTTATATTGAAAGGATAATTAAACAATTGAATATGCTTTTTCATTTATTATATATATATGTATCATGACTTTTAGTAAGTCTCTTCCCGTAAATGAGAAGTTAGTCACTACAGAATAGAGAAATTCATATATTGTTTGTGACTTTACTCTTATTCTAATCAAGGAAAATTCATCTATTGTTGTTTAAAAAAATAAAATGTTGTCCTTTAATAAAAAGTTTCTGTTTTATTATTTTATGTTCTTGTACATCCAATGATTTTGATATTTCTGTTATATTTTATGTTTTTTTTTACTACTCTCAATTTATTATATTTCTTTCATAACTTAAAAAGTGATTGCAATTTTACTAAATGATGAAATTTTATGTTTTAGATTTAAATTTTTAAGATGATCACTAAAAAAAATATTTTTACTCTGGATAAGTATAAATTAAAGTTTAAACTTCATAAATTTAGCTTAAATAGAAGTTTAATTTCTTTAAAATAATATTATTTTAATTTTATTTTTCATAATTATAATTATTTTAATTATAATTCTCCTAATTTTAGTTATTTTTATTTCAATCCTTCTAAATTTTTATTGTTTTCATTTTGGTCCTTTTATTTAATTTGGTCCACATAATTTTTGCTTTTCTATTTTGGTCCCTACTACTTTTTGTCTTATTTTTTTTTTGTTAGATTTAACAATCAATCTGACGGTATGGACAAAAATGAAACAAATTTTTTTTACAGAAACACAAATTAAAAAAAATTAAAAGGATGACTAATGTTAAAAAAACCTCCAATATTTTACATGAACTAAAAATTTATTTAAATTAAATTTATGATATGAATATAAGATACTTAATTTATCAAAAATATAAAACACACATACGTTAATATATATATATATATATAGTTGTATAAAAATATTAAATTGTGTAAATAAAAAAAATTACAAATAAACATAATTTATAATATAAAAATATAAATATGTTCAATAATAAAAATTATAACACTTAAACGTGATTATAATATAATCTATAACTATTATAAAAGAGATATAGGAGATGTAATCGTTTTTTGGTCTTTATTTCTTAATGGATCATTATACTTCTAGATATATAAAAAAATCTTAAATTTTTTTTAAATAATTATACCCAACTTTTTAATATTTTATTAGTGAATAATTATTAGAGGCACGAACTGCTCTACCCCTCTATATATCATAATTTAACTGTTTCAATTTAATCATTTTCTATCTATCATATTAGTAAAAATAATTACTTTAGAAAGGATTGTAAGAATTTCAGCTTCTTCAACACTCTTACATGATTATTTATCACATAGTTTTTTTTTTAATAATAAGGAGGCATAAATCCTTTCAACAAATTCAATTTTAAGAGTAAAATAATATTTAAATTGATAATCAAACTCAGATCTTAATTAGTTAAGATATATAATCCCTTTGACGGGGTCCAACTTTTAAATCATCACTTAATTTAGAGAAATAAAAAATTATACAAGAAATTTTACATGATAGAATTGTACGAGCACAGCGGTCTACGAGAAAGTTGACACCAACTAATTCCCACTCGATTATTTGTCAAACAATGCATGACTTCCTAATTAAGATATTTTGTATAAACCCACGACTTTTTGTCACCGATAATGATATATACACCTTCCATTAACAATGATTAGACTTTTAACATTTTAAAAATATTGTAAAACAAATCATATTTTTACTTTTTAATATAATATTAATTAATTAATTTTAATTTATTCTTTCATAAGTTATTTAACTATGAAAATTAAAATGTTATATTTATTATAAAGTGAGCTATTCTAGTAAAATATTAAAAAGTAATGTAATTATTATTTATAAAATTCATAAATTTTATATATTAGGAAACGGAGGGGTATAAATTTATTTAAAAGCCACGTTTTTTGACAGGAATAACTTCAACGTGATTGTTAGAAAGAATAATATTATATGCATGACAAAGCTAATAGATGTGGAAATTAAAGGAGCGCTCTTTTTTCCTTCATAAGACTCTTTCATGAAAAAGACGGAATCACCGCTTGATACTGAGATTAACATCGTGTCTTTAATTTTCAATTCAAAGTCGTCGTCTTTAATTTACCGGAGAAACCATGTTGATGAAAGAGATGAACCATTTGATACTTATCTTAAACAGATCCTTGAGTTAGTCTTGCTTAGCTTAAGTTGTGGGTTTATCCAAAAATATCTTGGGAATTGGGATCTTGGACTCCATCGTTATCCGTTTACTTATGCAACTCTTAACTTGTGTCTATATTTCCGAATTCTAAAACACGTTCAATGGTATTTCTCTCTCACATTCCTTTCGTATTCAACGTAACTCTATGATAATTAATACAAACACACTATTAATTCTTCTCCAACAAACTAATTCGTGGATGTGGGGCATGCGCACAGAAAATGATCAGAGCCATGTCTCATCATTCATCATTCTACTAATTAGTAGATTTTTGAGTTATACCTACATTAAACATTTGTAGGTAAATTTCTTTTTATAGTTTTACCTACACTAATTCAAGTCTATAGGTAAAAGTGTCTGTAGGCATAGGTTATTTTTTTTTTTGTAGTGTAATATTCCAGACGCTGCATCATCCAAAACCTGTTTCAAATGCTAGCTAAGCTATGCTTTTGGGATCACACCTCTTGTTGCTTATGTATCAACATTTTAACATGAATACCAGGAAATTAAACCGATAACTCTCGAATCACATTTACTATATACATTTTTTTTTAAATATAATATTGATACATATCTATCACTAAAAGTAATAATTAATTATTTTTTTTAAGATCCTAAGTACACACAATCCAACATATTCTGACCGCAATCAAGATTTGAATTCTTGGCAAATTGATTAGATCATATCTTGGAGTTTCATTTCTTTTGACAGTGTTTAATTATGATGGATAAAAAAAAATAAGAATTAAAATGCTGCAACCCTAAACACAATCAAGGACTCCGGTGGCAGTCTGCTTATGAATTGAATATGACTGACTATATGAGAATGTATACCATATACGTACCATCCAATGTATATATAGTGCTTATAATTTTTAATCGATTGGTAAAAGTGAACACGAGTAAGCAGACAACTAACACTCCATTGAATTATTTCACGGGACCTTAATAGCGGGAGAGTTACAAAAATATATATGGGTGTGTGAGACTGTCTAAACATGTTTCTGCCTTACTCATCAATATCTTCAAGTTATTTTTATTATTATTTGCATTGTTTATCATTTTCTATCTTATTTTTGGTGGCTTGCAAGGTGGTGGCTCTGTTGGATTTTGGCTATTGAGTGTTTTAACTTTTCAAAATGCAATTTAACCTTGATTCCGGCCAGAAACGAATAACCTCAACCAATGTCTAATTTAGAATGACAAAATAATGTCTAATTTAAGGTAGAAAAGGTTTTTGTACTTCGTCACTTCAAGCATGCCAGAGTTTTATTTATTTATTTTTATTATCTAAACTAAACATATATTTCGAGCAATGATAAGAGACTAATTCCTTTCAAAAAGAGACAACTTGTATATTTTAATAAAGTCTGTTTACATATGCATGCATGTGAGAGTTTACACACTAGCCACAACACGAAAAGTTTTTAGTAATAGTTGAAAAATATTATCAAATTATGTATAAATGTTACTAAATTATTTTAGTAACATATTATCAAATGTTGTATGTAGTCCATGTTACTAAAGACTTTTAATAATATTTTTATATAATTAAGTAATATTTTTTAAATATTATCAAATTATTATTTCTGTAACATTTTAAAGATATTGCTAAGTTTTTGTTAACTTTATAAAATGATAATTAATTTTAATTTAGATATTATTATCAATTATTATATTTTTAGGTCTCTTAAATCCTTAAGAGTTTTTCAAGAGATTAAAGACATTATTAATTACTCACTACTATTTATATATCAAATATTAAAGTTTATTTATCTTAAGTATAATTATATGATTATATATACTCTTTTTATGAGTCATTCATTTATTTGATGTGAAACTTTAAGGCTTAAATATATTTTTAGTCCCTCAAATTTAAGGTAAATCTGTTTTTGGTCCCTCAAATTTAAAATTATTGTTTTTAGTCCATGTAATTTCAAAAAATCTTATTTTAATCCTTATATTCAAATTTTTTTAAGAAATTTATCAAATATTATTGCATAAAATCTACTTATTGGTGTCCATATTAGTGAAAATATTACATTAAATTCGGTTGATATTGTATAATTGTTTTAATTAGTCACTTTCAAATATGTTATTAGTGACCTAAGGGACTAAAATAATATTTTTAAAAATTACAGGGACTAAAAATAACAATTTTAAATTTGAGGGACCAAAAACAAATTTTTCTTAAGTTTGAGGGACTAAAAACATATTTAAGCCAAACTTTAATTATGGATAACAACTAGAGATGAGAGAAATATACTTTTTTTTATTTGATGTGGGACTTTGATTCTAGAAGTAATTATAGTAACATTTTTCAAAAAAAAATGTTATAAAATAACTCATGTGACATTTTTTTAATGGGACTTTGATTTTGAAAATAATTAAAAAGAATAATATTAAAATAAAAAATGTTACTCTATCTATAATGAAACTTTTCAAAAAAAATGTTATAAAATAACCTATTTATTTAATATATAATAACATTTTAACAAATGTAAAAAAGAAAATGTTACTAAAGAGTTAAAATATAGTAGTGATCTTAGTCTTCCCTTACATTTCCTACGGAAAAAAATTCACAATGACATGTTTAATTTCTACATATCTTTGATCATTTGTTGTTCTTCTTCATAATCATAACCACAATGTTGTTCCATATGCATGAATAAAAAATGAGTGTGTTGTCATCTTTGTTCTCTTGTGATAATAGAGTAAATGAGGATAAATTATTTGTTTATTTAACATTGAAGTGATTCACCTGATACCTACACAGATTGCTTTGACTTCCGGCTCAATTCCAAGTAATGATCACCTATTAGTTGTAAAATCTCCTCCCACAAATTTTCTGAAGAATCTGATAGTGCCCAAGCCCCCGCAACATCATTCAAATTACTACGTGATCCAAAGCATAGTCTAGGGATTACCTCTTTAAATCCTATAGAAGCTTCATCTTCTCTATTTTCAACCAAATCATGTTTACCTCAAGTGGTTCACTGAAATGCAGAAAACAATAGTAGTTAATAGATCATGATTTATAAGTTTCAATTGTTTGATTTATTTTTGTGTTGAGGACTGTTGATAGCAATTCCAAAATGTCCTCCTTGAAAGTGAATCTTATCGATTCTGGTTAGGAGGTAGTAAGACATGTTTTTGTTGGTATTTAGAGTTTGAAGAGTAAGGACACCTTCGATCCACTTAATGAGTTTTTGATGATAAAGAATATGGAAGTCATGAGAATATTTTGAAATGTAATATAGCACAACCATTTGGGGGCAGAGTGCTTGACAATTAATGTGATGGCTTTTAAATATATTGAAGTGGAAAAGACAGCACTATCATGAGAGATGCATTAATTACCTAATTTGCTTAGGTTAATAGGTGGACAATTTTAGCATGCATGTATTATGTTGTTGAGTAGGAAGCTTTTAAAGAATTACTTTGCTAGATAACTTATGCATTTATTAAGATAACTTATGCACAATATTTACAAAGGAAAAAAAAATATAATACTAGGTTAATAGATCCTGTAAATTTCTAATTTAAAAATTGAGTTAAACTAGATCCTTTGTGCCCTCTTTTCTCTTTAACCTCTATTTCAATCCTTTTTGATACGTTGATATTCAACTATACACAAATATATGAGTAAATAAAAATGATTGAAATATATTAAAGGAAAAAACATATATTATTCTTTAATTATAAATTTAATGAAATTTTTATCATATATAGATTAAATTATATAGAATAACAGAGAAAAAGGAGAGAAACAGAAAACTTTATGAAAATGTAACTGATTCTTGATATTGATTTAGTGGAGCAAAGCCACTTATTTATAGGACAAATACACCTATAACAGACTAACCACCCGAGAGTCAGTTTTGCAACTGCTCTCTTTACAGTTCACTCACATACCCCCTCACAAACCTAAGTTGGGTGAGCAGCAGAAGATAGCTCAACAACTTTGAGTTTGTCTCGCAAAAGTAAAAACCGGGCAGATGACAAAGGTTTTGTGAGAGCATCAGCCCACTGATCTTGAGCTGGAATATGTTGAACACTGAGTTGCTTGGCAAGAACCTTTTCTCGAACAAAAAACAGGTTGATTTCCATATGTTTTGTCCTAGAATGAAGAACAGGATTGTGAGCCAGAGAGACTGTGCTTTGATTGTCACAGTAGATAACTGGAACAGAGAAAGAAATTCCCAATTCACGAAGAAGAGTTTCAATCCATAGCACTTAAGCAGTTGCTTGAGCCAGGCTTTGATATTCAGCCACAGTACTTGATATGGCAACTACAGGTTGTTTTCTAGACCACCACGAAATTAGATTTGGTCCAAAAAAGATAGTTGCACCAGACGTTGATCTTCTGTCATCAGGATCAGCAACCCAATCAGCATCACAGAATGCATGTAGTTGAAACTTTTGAAGAGACCCAGCAGCCTGAATGTGTAACCCATGATATAATGTACCTTTAAGATACCTTAAAATCCTTTTTACTGCATTCCAATGACTCTCAAGAGGACTTGCCATAAACTGACAGACTTTATTGACAGCAAAACTTATTTCAGGGCGGGTTATTGTAGCATATTGTAGTGCTCCAACAACTGACCTGTAGAATGTAGAATCAGTCAATGTATCAGACCCATGCTTAGACAGCTTGGAAGTAGAAACCATAGGTGTTGAAATTGGTTTGGCTTCAAGCATGTTAGTTTTCTGAAGAAGGTCACGGATATACTTGCTCTGTGTGAGAACTATAGAACCATTTGGCTGGTGTTTGACCTCTATTCCCAAAAAATAATCCAACTTGCCAAGATGTTTTAGAGAAAATATAGTATTGAGTTGACATATGAGGTGTTGAGTAAACTGAGATGAACTTCCAGTGATAATAATATCATCTACATAGACCAAAAGATGGACAATATTGTTATTTATGTGATAAATGAAAAGAGAAGGATCACATTTGCTAGCTTTGAACCCAAATTGCAGCAGAGTAGCTTGTAATCTGTCAAACCATTGCATGGGAGCTTGTTTCAGGCCATATAGGGCTTTGTTTAACTTGCAAACCATAGTGGAATCAGTTATTTAGGTTTTATGCTTATCACAATGTCTCAAGTGTTCCTTTACCCATATCGTTCTGGGGTGAGAATTCATGAATCAATGTTCACCACATGCAAATTTAGTATCTCCCTCCTAATTTCAGATCGTGAGGTGCACATAGTATTTTAACAGGATGAGATCAAAGTACAAAATTGCATTTGAGCAAATCTAACATGGAGATTTTGGGGATTGTTTTAGTCAATTTACTGTGTTGTACAAATATTGAAAATTTATGTATGAACAATGTCATATCGTAGCATTTGCTTTTTGTTGCCCAAATAAAGGTTTAAATGTAGTACTTTTTCTCAATAATATCTGCTATACTGGTTGTGTGCTTGTGGGAGCTGTCGTAGTTTAGGACTTGTTTGGATAAGCTTATCTAAAAGCATTTATAAGAGAGAAAAATTAAAATAGGCTGAAAGTAGTTTATGTATGAGTTAAAAAGAAAATTTTGGAGAAGTTAATATGAATTTTTTTTTTTAAAAATAGTTCATGTATAAGTTAATTTTAGTTTATAGAGAATCTTATTTGTTTATTTTTCTTATTTTACTCTTAGAAATAATTTTAGAAAAGTTTATCCACATTGTGCCCCTGAATTCTGTTGCCTTGATATCTGGCATATATTTGACAACTGTTACAAGCTTTTGGCTTTAGTGCCACGGTTCAAAAGATAGGAAATATACTGACTAGTACGAAGATTGAGCTTGAAAAGGATTGTGTTTCACTTCCACGTATAGCATGGTTGTTTTCCCATTTTTCTCCATTGAACTGAAAAGGTGTGTGATAATTTCTCTGGTCAAGGGAGTTTCGGAATTTGGGATGTGTTATAAAAACTCACGATATGATCACCTACTGTTCATTCCTGCAGTTGCATCCGTTAAGGTTCCGTTTACCTTTTGATAATTTATTTGTGAAAATAATTTGTGGTAATCGGCGGTGAGTATCTAAAAATTCTGGTATTTCGCTATTAATATTTTTACCACGCATAGTTTTAAATTATTGTATGTGTATTTGGAGTTCGGTTGAGATGAATTTAACTGATAAAAAAAAAAAGTTGCACATAAGTTATTCTTTTTCTTACATCGGAACATGTGTTTCTTTTTTGTTGGTTTTCCTAACATATAGTAGAGAATCATGGTCATGCTATAATATAAAAGTTTTTTTCTCCAAAATAATGATTTATTTCCGAGAGAGATGTTGTAAATAGGTGATTTCCACTCAAACATTTACTATATGGATATGTTTTCTTATGAAGAAAAAAATGTTTTAATCTTTTTATTTTTTCATTTTTAGAAATGTATTTGACTTTTCTAAATATGTTAAGTTTTTATGCATAAGGCCTGAGAACTAGTTCTAGAATTATTCAAGATATCAACATCAGTATTTACATCATTAGAAACATTTGACACTAAACAGGTGACAGAAGTGCTTGGAGTAGCTTGAAGTTGAAGACTGGGAAAGCAATAGAGACCATCAGGACCCACTCTGCCATGTATCAAAACTTCATTGGTGGCCTGAGATTTAACAAGACAGTGAGTAGAATGGAATTCAAAAAAGACAGAGTTATCCTTGGCAAATTTACTAACACTGATTAAGTTTTTGGTAATATTAGGAACATGCAGCAGATTATGTAAGGCTAAAGAAACTTTTGGATTATGTTGAGATAAAAAGAATGAGGAACCAGAAGAGTGGATAGGCAAACCTTGACCATTGCCAATGAAAATTTGATCAGGACCTTCAAAGGGACTGATCTAGTGAATATTTTGTTGATCTCCTATTACATGAAATGACGCACCAGAATCTGGAAACCAACTTGTAGGATTTGGAGCATTATTCGTGTTGGTTACCATAGCATTTGGTTGCTGAGAAGTTGATCTGGTGTTCGGATTCCATTGACTATAAGTTGGCCTGTTGTTCTGAGTCCACTAATTATTGGATCCATTATGCGAAAAAAATTGTTGTGGTTGATTGACATAACTCTGTTGTCCAACATTTCCACTAAACGAGTTTTCATGATTCTGAGAAAAATTGCCTTGAAAATTGTAGGTAAAGATAGGTTGATAGTTTTGGTCAAAACGATGATAGCAATTTGCTGCAATATGACCAATCTTACAACATACTTGACACTGAATGCCTGAATATCGTCCACTACGGCCACGACCACGACGACCACCACGGCCGCGATACGCATTTCTTCCACCATTCATATTTACATCAGCACCTTGTGAAGAATGACTAACCTGATTGTCAACACTACCATTTTCCTGAAAATTAGGGTTCGAATTAGGGACTTGTGTGAGATTGACTGCAGCTGATTCAGATAGGAGTTTCTTTTTGTATTTTTGAGTGCGCATTTCATGTGCTAACAGCAACGCTTCCACTTCTTCAATTGAAGGAGTATCGAATTTGCTTTCAATAACAGATATGATTGAACTATAATCTTGCGATAAACCTTCAAGAATCACATCGACATGTTCTTGTTGTGAAACTGATTCTCCAACAGATGCAAGAGCATCAACCAAGGCTTTAATGCGAAGAAGAAATTCTTCCATAGTTTTTTCTTCAAGCAAAGTAGATCGCAACTTTGTTCGTAACTGTCGAGCCCTAGCTCGAGTTTGTTTGTGAAAATAGTCATGGATTTTATCCCAAACTTGATAGGAATGAACACTTCCTAATACTCGCGAGAGAATTGCAGGAGATAAAGAACATTGCAACCACGACATAAGCATTTGATCTTGTTGCTCCCAAACTGTATATTCTGGATTGATTCTTCCTTCATTTCGATCATATTCGTTTAAGAATCGCAAAGGAATTTTCGGACACACCACAAAATGTTGAAGACAATGAGCCTTGATGACCGGTTCGATTTGTTGACGCCAGAGCAGAAAATTCATTTCATCTAGTTTCGTTGAAATCGTGTGCGCGAAAGTGATTGGCGCAGAGGAAGAGAGGTTGAGAGATGAATCAGCCATTGAGATCGTCACGCTCTGGATACCATATAGAATAACAAAGAAAAAGGAGAGAAACAGAAAACTTTATGAAAATGTAACTGATTCTTGATATTGATCTAGTGGAGCAAAGCCACTTATTTATAGGACAAATACACCTATAACAAACTAACCACCCGAGAGTCAGTTTTGCAACTGCTCTCTTTACAGTTCACTCACAAATTATATTTTTATCTTTTATCTTATTTTTAAAATTTATTTTGTTTATTTATCTTTTAAAATGTTGACTTTAATTCTTTATCTCATAAATTTGGATAGATATAGTCCTTTTGAAATGATGATTATTTACAATTTACAAACATAATTTTGAATTCATTTTTTTAATGATTCAAGACTTGAAATTTGTCTAATTAGATTTTTTAATATAAAAACTATTAAATGCAATTAAAGTTCAAACAAAAAAATTTCATAAACATGATGAAAATCCTATAAAAAAAATTAAAAAATTTCAATTTCATATTTTTTTTCTAGTTACTTGTGAAATATATTTTACACACAATTTTCATTAATTTATAATTCTTTTAAATTCAAAAAATAATTAAATTTCATAATTTTTATATAGATAAATTTATTGTTACAAATTTTATGTCTTAAATCAATTAAAAATTGATTCAAAATCATATAACAAAATTAAAAATGGTCATTTTTAAAATAACCAAATTGATCTAAATATAACAAATAAAAGATCAAAATAAATTTAAAAAATAAAAATATAATTTAGTCTTATATATATTATCACAGTAAGACTTCAATTATAATGAAAGAAACACTTATATATATATATATATATAGTATTGCATCTAAATTTTATCTTGTTATTTTTATATCTTAAATAAGACATAAACCTTATGTTATCTTAAAAAACCTAATTCAGAGTAACTTGTCGAAGCATTGACATCAAAAGCATGCAATGTACGACGTAATTAGTTATTGTGTAAGATTTTGTGTAAGATTTTTTTGTTTTTGTACCATAATTAACTAGAGTTATTATATACATGTTGACGTGTTTTATTTAAGAAGAATGAAAGTTCTTGCTTTGTAGAGAGTTAAAAATATACTTCATTTAAATAGAAGATATGCATATAAATTTGACTCGATTTAAATCTTAAAATATAAAAAAAATAAATAAATAAATAAATAAATAAAAAAGTTATGATTTACATACCACGGTTTGTAGTTTCATAGATTTCAATTAATGGATGTAATCATGGCTGCATCTCCTGTTGAAGAAAATGGCTCCCACCAGAACTCCCCAAAATCCAACGACAAATCCAATTCCCAAACCCATGCAGAACCACGAATATACTTCTGATTTATCACTATCATCATTATCTTCTTCTCCAATGGGCTTTGTAGTGTTGGAATTTTCATCTTGTGAACATGTCTTTGTAAGTGGGACTCCACAGAGATCAGGATTGCCGATATAGCTAAGGTTTGTAAAACCAAGTTGGGTCCCTAATGGGATTTTTCCCTCAAAATTGTTGAATGACAAATTCAATACCTCGAGATAATGCAAGATAGACATGGTCTGAGGAATTTCTCCAGAGAAATTATTTCTTGAGAGATCGATGGACTCCAATGGTTTCAAGTTACCAATCTCTTGTGGTATGGTTCCCATGAATTGATTATGGGACAAATTCAAGGACTGTAATCCAGACAACATAAACATCTCTGAAGGCAGACTTCCAGACAATTTGTTGTTTGAGAGATCAATCACAGTCATCAAATCAACATATGATAACTCATTTCCTTTTATAAGAATCCGAATGCTGCTGATAATTTTTATGTGAAAACCTGAAAAATGAAGTATAAAGCCGACTCTTCGAGTTGAAACATAAATAGAAAGCATGGCTGTGATGTTATGTAAGCAATTGGGTATTGGTCCTGATAATCTATTACTTGAAATATCCATCACCATTAAAGAACGAAGTTGGCATATCTGTGTTGGAATATTTCCACCGAAATGATTAGGTCCCAATTTAAGACCTTTAACACTTTGCCCCAAGCTTGGTATTACTCCAGAAAGATTATTGTGACCAAGATCGAGTATCCAAAGATTCTTGCAGTTTTTTATAGAAAACGGTACCTCTCCAAAGAACTTATTGCTTCCAAGATGCAAAAAACGAAGGTTAGACAAGAAGATTGAATTAGGAATCTTGCCTGTTAGGTTGTTGTGTCCTAAATTAATAAGAACCAATGATTTCCAATTATTCCAACAATTTGTTAGTTCTCCAGATAAATGGTTATAAGCCACGTTCAATTGCACTAAATTGCTTTTATCTGCCATATTATTGTGACACAATGTAGGAGAAAGTGATCCTGACAGTGAGTTATTACGCAATTGTAAAACAACCACTTCTGATGATATATGAGGCATGCCACCTTTTAAATTATTGGCCACTAGCCAAACAACTTTCGAGTTTAACAACACATTTGACATGTCCCCATTGATTGTGTTGTTTTGCAAAGAGATAAATTCAAGTTGAGAAGAAAAATTCCAAAACTTGTCAAGAGGTTCAAATGAAGCAGATGAGTCTTCAATGGTTAGATATTTTAGAGAAGTCTGTGTGAATAGCCATGCAGGAAGTTTGTCTCTCATATAGTCCAATCTAATACGTAAAAGTTGAAATGGAGGCACCCATTCAGGATCAAAATCAAAGACCAAGGCCGGAGAACCCATGGAAAACTGCTTCAAATTGGAAAATGAAAGTAAATTTCTTTTAGATACATTTCCAGTCAAGACATTTTCTGCAATTTGAAGGGTCTCCAAGTTGATGAGTTGCCCAAGTTTGTCTGGAAGATTTCCATTCAATTCATTTGACTCGAGTATCAACTCGACCAATGATGATACGTTTCCCAAACTTGTTGGGATTGGACCAGAAAAAAAGTTATGAGAAAGATCAAGTTTTTGTAGTTGTTCAAGTTGTCCTAACCAATTTGGAATGGGTCCTTTGAGATAATTATGAGATAAAACCAAGGACTTTAATCTTCTAAGATTTGGCAATGTTTTAGGTAATTGGCTATGCATCTTATTTTGGCTAAGGTCAATATGAGAGATGTCACGACTAAGATTGAATAACCAACTAGGCAACTCGGACGCAAAATTGTTTTTAGCTAGATTTAGAACTTGAAGTGAAGTAAAATTAGCATATTGAAGAGATGGATAAATGTTTTCAAGTTGACAACTCTCTAAATGTAACTCTAGAAGTGTAGGAAGCATAGTGACTGATTGAATCCAATCAATTTCCCTATGAATATGAACACCACCAAGGCTAAGATATTGTAATGAGGAAAGACGTGAAAGCCAATGGAGATTATCGACAAGAAGATCATAATTATAGGATAAATCAAGATAATGGAGGTTGGTCGAGTTTCCACACATATGGGGAGGGTTACCTCCTGACAAGTCGTCACATTTTTTGCTACTCGTTGAATTATATTGCATAGATTTGAAATCATTGTTGCTCAAGTTTAAGTAGCTCAAAAATTCAAGTTCCAGCAAATTCAAGCTGAATTCACCTGTTAGGCAGTGTGATTGTCGTCCTCCTCTATGTAATCAACAAGTTTATGGTGATTTGTATGACAAGGGAGATTAAGTTCTGAGACTCTAGCTTTGATATTATCACACTTGACTCCAGTCCATTGGCAACAGTCTAATTTTGGAGACCATGAGGACAGCATGCCTGAAGGATCTATGACTCCTTGTTTGAAGTGTAGGAGTGTGTTCATGTCCTTCTCGCTGCAATGAATCTTTGAACTGCACATGACAGAGTTAAACATGATTGAACATAGTAAGCAAAGTAAAAGGTACTCAATATTCGAGGGAGAGGCAGCCATGATCATGCAAGAAGATGTGTTGTGTTGATGATGGGAAGGCATATTCAGTCCAGTACAAGCATATATGTAGTTGAAGTAAGTCTGCCAATGTCATTGTGTGGAAATTAAATTATTAACTAATCCAATGGCTTTCGAGGTGTATGGGCACGTGGAGTGGGGTTTAATGAGGGAACTCTTACACCACATGATTGAAATGGATCAGATTTTTATAGTTCTTTTAATTCTAAAAGCACTCAATTAGTCTTATTTAATTTTATTTTTCAATAAAAAAAAGGGCTAAAATAAAAGTGACTCAATTAGTTTTGGTTAACTGAGTTGAAAAATATGGTAAATTTCCTGCATATCCCATGTATTGTTAAAATTCTGAGTCGATGGACCATCCAATTTCTCCACTATTTAATCTCTGATAGTTAATAATGTTTTTAGCAGAAGGTGGTGGGCAATGCAGATAAGATATTGGGAATAAATGGTGGGGTTGGAGAGCAATGAAATAATTGCCTTATCGAGAAAATGCAGTGCAAGAAATAAACGTGGATAAATGCGGTTGTAGTTTTCGTCCCACTACAACTTTTGAGCAGTGGAGTACTCATATATTCCCTTCACAATCTGCACAAACAGAAAAGGACACAAACCTTTTAGGCTTTTTCAAGTGGAGGAAGAAGATCGTCATTCATATTCGAGTGTATATAACTTTTTCATTAAGGCCGTAAAATATCAAGTCCCATATGCATGGATCATGGATGGACAACTAGAGGAGAAATTAAATAATGATAAAAACTGTAACAAACTTTTATGTGAAACAATCCAAAATATAGTAGTTATACAGTAGTAAAAGTAAAAGAGAATATATCCGTAGAATAAAAATTGAGGAAAATATAATTGATTTTTTAAAAAATTTAAATACGTTTTTGTCTCTTAAATATATAATTTTACAATTTTAATATCTAAAATACTGTCATTGCATGATTTTAGTTATAATAAATGTATATTATTTAATACATGAATAGAAATTATAATATATATATATATATAATTTAAATGTCAAATTAATAATTACAATATTTAAATAATTAAAATCTTACAATTGTGATAAGATTAAAATTATTTAATAAAAATTTGAAGAATTAAAATCGCTTAACCACTATATTTTAAGAAAAAAATGCATTTAATTTCTTTTACCTTCCAAGTCTTTATGTATATTTTCTCTTGATTTTCTATTCTTTTCTATTGATATGGTGTTTGAACTAAAAAAAAAAATATATAAGATCGGA